CAGCGTCGGCGGCTCGGCTGCTTCTCTGATCTGTGAGCGAGGCGGCCGCCTGTGGAGCTCACGTGTCGCTTGGGAGCACGCAAGCGCCTGTGATGGACGCGTCTGATGGAGACAAAGTAGTTTTTCCACTACTGTGTCGTGTTTTTTTTTCCCCATTTTACTCCTCCTGCCCATCAAGTCTTGCGGTAGCCGGCCCCTTGAACCGGTGCTACTGGTAAACACGGCCGCCGCTGCTGCTGCCAGCCCCGAGGCCCATCGCACTCAGAGGGAATGTATGCACATACTAGAGGTGTTTGGGTTATGTATGTAACTTGCGTTTCACTCAGGGCGGACGGCAGCCGCAGCAACGATCGTGCCTGGCTGCAAGACGGCCACCTGGGTTCGATTCCCGACTCGGGAGCGCCTTTTCTGTGTGGAGTTTGCGTGTCCTCCGTCGGTTCTGCAAGGTTTGTGTGTAGGGGGAGGGGGGGGGGGGTTAACACACTGCGCTAAGAACCTGACGACTCGAGTTAAATTTCCACTCAGCCAACATTTGTGACGAATATATAAAGAGGATATGTGCCTCCCCTAGGTCGGCTAAGTCCCAAATGAGTATCTTTCGCTTGCTGCTAAAGGCGATATGGGGGATCTTCGTGTCTGTGTGTGGAAGTTTGACGTTCTTCCCTCGTTCTGCATCAGTTTCCTCCGAGTTCTCCGGTTCCCTACCAAGAGCTAAAAAAACAACCCACGTACACGCACAATGTAACTGGTGGCTACCGATAATATAACATGCCAATGCTGAAAAGTGCAATTGGGATTACACAGAGCAACATCGCCCCCCCCCCCCTACCGGCGGCAGGCTGATGCCCGCTTGCAGGCCACGTGCCGAGTCACCTCGCGCCGCGCATTGGGACAGCTGCCGCTGGGGGTGCCCTTCGCATTGTCCGAGATGGGGCGCGACGAAGGGCGCTCGGAGTTGCTGACGCGCTGAAGCCAGGGCCAAAAGAGAACTCACGAGTGTCGGTGTGTAGAACTTCTTTCGCACTGCGTGTCGCCAACCGCGCGACGAGACGGGGCCGTGCCGTGTTTCCCTGTCGTGATCTCATCACGGGCTGTGTGTGTGTTTGTGTGAGATTGTTGATGTCTTGGCTTTGCCGATACGATGTTGACATCGGCTGAATCACGGTCAGCCTGGGGTTTGCCAAGCACGTTTATGGCAATCGGGTGACAATGACCAATTTAAATGTTCAGCCCCCTGTCAATCCACTGCTGGATGAAAGCCTCTCCCACGCCGTGTCGTTCACAGAGGTCGTTCGACCATACTTCCCCACGCTGGTCAGTACGGATTTATGACGTGCGCGGTATCGAACACAGGTCGCCGCGTTCGTGGACATGGGCCGGATGGGTCGTTCATCGCAGGATCGTGGTAGATTGTCGGCGGTGGTGGGTTGGGAGAGGCCTTCATTCAGCAGTGGACTGACCATGGCTGCTGCTGTGTTATGGATGATGATTTGTCTTCTGTTGTGCCCCCCCCCCCACCAGGGGAAGACTCCCGTCCCGATTGGCCCTCGCCAGGCTGAGGATGGCGCGGCGTGCGTGCAAGCGCGACGCGACCGGCCTGGCCGGGCGAATTCGCCCCGGGGCGCGACGGCTCCGGGGGTCCCTCGGCACCGACGTCGCGGACGGAGAGAAGCGATCTGCGGGGTGGAGTGGCGGTGGTGGCGGTGGTAGTGGTGGCGGTGGTGACGGCAGTGGTGGTGGTGGTGGTGGTTAGTGGTGGCGGCGATGGTAGTGGTGGCGGCGGTGGCGGTGGAGGCGGTGGTGGTGGTGGCGGTGGCGGCGGTGGTGGCGGTGGAGGCGGTGGTGGTGGTGGTGGGGGCGGCGGTGGCGGCGATGGTGGTGGTGGCGGTGGCGGTGGTGGAGGCGGTGGTTAGTGGTGGCGGCGATGGTGGTGGAGGCGGTGGTGGTGGCGGCGGTGGAGGCGGTGGCGGCGATGGTGGTGGAGGCGGTGGTGGTGGTGGCGGCGGTGGCGGCGATGGTGGTGGTGGTGGTTCCTCCACGTGCCTCGAGCGTCCAGCACGACCGCAACACCGCTCCCCCCACACGCCCTCTCTACCCACCTCGCTCCGTCTGCACGTCTCAAACACAAAAAGACAACAAAGATCCCCCGTATAGCCTTGACAGGCTGTTGGGGCAAGTGCTGTTCACCTTTGGAGGCACACGAGGGGGCGGGTGGCTAACACCACCCTCGGTCGCCTTTATCTTCCCAGTGGCGATGTCTACACACCGGACCAAACTTAACGGGAAGCATTCCATCTGACACCGTGACGTCGACTCGCAACCCTCCCCCAAAGCGCGGGGCCCGGGCGGTCGCCCGGATTCGCCGTACCCTCGGGATGGCTCTGCAGCAGAGGGAGCACAGCGACCCGGGAAAGCCTCACGGAGTCCCAAGACGCTTTGAAAGGAGCGTCCTGCAGTAATGTCCGGGTTGTAGCGATGGAATTCCAAAATAAAAACAGATGCTTAGATGATGGATGCTGCTGCGTTCACAGTGATGCACAATGAACGACACAACTCAACACGTTCCTCAATAGCAACACTTGAGTAGTCTTAAATATAAAATATATGAGGCGACGTTTCGGCAATGGTCCTTAATAGCACGTGGAGGGCGAGAGGCGTGCGCGCCACGGTGTGGGCGCAGCGGTCCCGCACTGCCGCCTGCTGCTCGAGAGCGAGCACAGCAGCGCTCTCCTCTCCCTCTCATCGCACTCCACTCACTCCTCCACTCCTCCACTCTCATCTCACTCCACTCACACCTCCACTCCCACCTGCACTCTCATCTCACTCTACTCACACCTCCACTCCTCCACTCTCATCTCACTCTACTCCCCTCCTACCTCTCTCTCTCATCTCACTCCACTCACACCTCCACTCATTCCTCTCATCTCACTCTACTCCCCTCCATTCCCACCTCCACTCTCATCTCACTCCACTCACACCTCCACTCCTCCCTCTCATCTCACTCTACTCCCCTCCACTCCCACCTCCACTCTCATCTCACTCTACTCCCCTCCACTCCCACCTCCACTCTCATCTCACTCCACTCACATTTCCACTCCTCCCTCTCATCTCACTCTACTCCCCTCCACTCCTCCCTCTCATCTCACTCTACCCCCCTCCACTCCTACGTCTCCCTCTCATCTCACTCCACTCACACCTCCACTCCTCCTTCTCATCTCACTCTACTCCACTCCTACCTCTCCCCTCTCATCTCACTCTACTCCCCCTCCACTCTTACCTCCACTCTCATCTCTCTAATCCCCTGAGACGGATGCCTTTGCTCCTCTTCTCGTCGTCGTCTGTCCACAGCTTCACTCCGAATCCGCCCCTCTCGGCTCGCGGGAGGCGGATATCACAGAGCTACGTCTGAGATCATTCACCTCTTCCAGTGACCTCTGGTCGACGCACAGCAGAAGAGGAGGAAAGGCTTCCGTCTCGAGAGACTGGAGAGAGCGAATGCGTTCCACTCGTTCTATAATGGCAACTTGATGAGGGCTCGCGTTACAAGCTCGCAATCGGCAGAGGGACTCGTGGTCGACAGCCGGTAGAAGACAACGTGGGCTGGAGCAGTGCAAGCGGGGGAGTCGACGACTCAGTGCAAAGATTTACATCGATGTCAGGGCGATTCGTAAAAAACACCTGGCTCCACTGGGTGAGCCGCGTGGGGCGCATGGGGGAGGAGGAGAGGGTAAGGGGGAGAGAAGACCTAAGGGCAGACGGTGGGAGACTCTCAGGGCAGATCTATGGGTCTCTGTATGAGTGTATATTTATCTATGTGAGTCTGTGGGTCTCTATGTGATTCTAAGAGTATAGGTCTCTTTGTGAGTCTAGAGTTACGTGTCTATGGTCCTCTATGTGAGTCTGTGTCTCTACGCGAGTAAGTGGGTCTCTGTGTGAGTCCATGGATTTGTGTGAATCTGCGAGTCTCTATGTGAGTCTGTGGGTCTCTATGCGAGTCTAAGGGTATCTATAGGCCTCCTTGTAAGTATATAGTTAGCTGTGTTTTTGGATCTTTCTGTGAGTCTATGGGTCTCTATGTGAGTCTATGGGTCTCTACACGAGTCAGTGGGTCTCTGTGTGAGTCCATGGATTTGTGTGTTAATCTGCGAGTCTCTATGTCAGTCTATGGGTCTCTATGTGAGTCTACGGGTCTCTATGTGAGTCTATGGGTCTCTGTGAATACAGTGAATCGGTCGCGATGAGAATCTATGAGCAGACGGTGGGCGGCTTGGCATTGCAGATCTTGGAGGTGGCTGCGTGGTCGTGGTGGTGGTCGTGGTGGTGCAGTATTTTATTGATCTTCAATGTGAGGGGGGCGCTCGTAGATGAATGGACGTCTGACGTTGAAGAACGATAACAAAGCAAATCTACAGGGCTCCATACTCTTTGGTTATTTCGGTAAAGTCACGTAGTAGGTATAAAATAAAATACATTTAATCACGACATTTCGGGCGCAACACAAGCGTCCGTCATCAGGTGGAACAATCACAGCAAGAAACAAACTGCTGAAGTGGGCAGAAGGACTCCCGTAATACCAGGTTATCTAGGTAAGAGGGGGGGCAGAGAGGAGGGGGGGGTAAGTGGAGTGCTGCCAGATGAAGAGCAGCTAGAAAGGATCAAAGGGCAAAAGGAGGAGCGAAAGCAAAAGAGGGGAGATGCGGATGTGAAGGCAACACCATAAAGCATTTAAGGTTTTACCTGGTTAATAACATCCTTCCAATGATTGCTCAATTTGTATCCATCTTCTCGGTTATATATCTGGATGGCTTCATGAACAAACCTTTGATAGTATCATGAGAGCCCACAGCGTTATAGCAATGGTCAGCCACGGCGAGGGCATTAGTTCTGCCTTGTTTCAGATCTGCCTTGTTTCAGATCTGCCTTGTGTTCGCGAACACGGTCCGAGACATGACGTTTCATTTCCACAATGTAACAATCACCACAGGTGCAACCCGAAACGTCGTGATTTAATTTATTTTATTTTATACCTACGTGACTTTACCGAAAGAACCAAAGAGTAGGGATCCCTCCAGTCACGAAAGCTTCAAATCAAGATTAAATTTACAGGGCACCCGTGAGCGTAAACCCCCAAACAAACAACAAACAAACAACAACAAATTGGCCGCTCGCTCGCTCGCTCCGTAGTCGGGACGCGAGTGCCGGCGGCCAGGGAACTCCGGCAGAGCGCCCGCGGGCAGCGCGGCGCACACGGAGCCGCTCCCGGCGAGAGCGGCTCTCAGAGCCGCGCGAGGAGAGCGCGAGCCGGGCCGGCGCCGCCCATCCCGTCGCCAACTCTCATCCTCGCTCCGACCTCGCCGCCGCCGCCGACGCGGTCCGCCGCCCACCCCCGCGCGTCGTCGCGCGCCGCGGCGCGGTCGATGCACGCCTCGTAGCCGCCGCTCCCCACGTGCAGCGCGGCGCACGCGAGCCGGAGCCGACACGGCCCCTGGCACCAGCGGTCCGCCGTGAAGCTCACGAGGAAGTGGCGCGCGTACAGGGCGAAGGCGGCGTCGGCGGAGGGGCCCCGCGACAGCATGAGGCGCCCGAGCGCCAGCAGGCTGCCGGGGCGCAGGTCGGGCAGGCCGAACGCCTCGGCCATGCGGTACTCGAGGGCCCAGGAGGCCTTCCCGCGCTCGTTGGCCTCCGTGAGGTTCAGGTAGAACTGAGACAGCTCCTGCGAGAGGGGGTGGATGGGGGTTGGGGGGGGGCAAGGGTAGTGGGGGCACCGGTGGCTCGCAGGGGTAGTGGAGGAGAGTCCGAGGGAAAGAGGGAGACGGCTACCAGAGTCGCTCGGCTAATCAGAGATGTGGAAACGCCGAGCGAACGTCGCGAACGGAGGGCTAGAAGGAATCGGGTTGACCTGCGTTGTCAACTCAGGTTGAGTCAACTCGAGTTGTGATGAGTTAGCTGAAGCTAGTTCCAGTCAACTCTAGTTGTGATGAGTTAGCTGAAGCTAGTTCCAGTCATCTCCAGCCAACTCGAGGTAAACCGGTAACCGTCCGGCAGTCACCGGTGAAAGTGGAATATTTCGTAACGAACGTCATTGGTGTTGGCCGTGAGCGAGAATTGAACTCTGGTCGCCGGGTTCACAGCGCAGCACCCTAACAGGTATACTACCACTCCCAACTACCACACACAGACATACGCACACAGGCACGCACCTCAATAGCCAGGTCGCGCTGGCTGTAGTTGTAGGAACGGAAGCCGGGGTTGTTGGCGAGCGGTATGGCCACCGAGCCATTGTTGGAGCGCCAGGGCGTGATGGCCGGAGACACAAACATGCTGCCCAGAGCCGCCCCTAGCACACGGCCAGAGACACAAACACGCTGCCCAGAGCCGCCCCTAGCACACGGCCAGAGACACAAACACGCTGCCCATAGCCACACCTAGCACACGGCCAGAGACACAAACATGCTGCCCATAGCCACCCCTAGCACATGGCCAGAGACACAAACACGCTGCCCATAGCCACACCTAGCACACGGCCAGAGACACAAACACGCTGCCCAGAGCCGCCCCTAGCACACGGCCAGAGACACAAACATGCTGCCCATAGCCGCCCCTAGCACATGGCCAGAGACACAAACACGCTGCCCATAGCCGCCCCTAGCACATGGCCAGAGACACAAACACGCTGCCCATAGCCGCCCCTAGCACATGGCCAGAGACACAAACACGCTGCCCATAGCCGCCCCTAGCACATGGCCAGAGACACAAACACGCTGCCCATAGCTGCCTCTAGCACACGGCCAGAGACACGAACATGCTGCCCATAGCCACCCCTAGCACATGGCCAGAGACACAAACACGCTGCCCATAGCCGCCCCTATCACATGACCAGAGACACAAACACGCTGCCCAGAGCCGCCCCTAGCACACGGCCAGAGACACGAACATGCTGCCCATAGCCACCCCTAGCACATGGCCAGAGACACAAACACGCTGCCCATAGCCACCCCTAGCACATGGCCAGAGACGCAAACACGCTGCCCATAGCCACACCTAGCACATGGCCAGAGACACAAACACGCTGCCCATAGCCACACCTAGCACACGGCCAGAGACACAAACACGCTGCCCATAGCCACACCTAGCACACGGCCAGAGACACAAACATGCTGCCCATAGCCACCCCTAGCACATGGCCAGAGACACGAACATGCTGCCCATAGCCACACCTAGCACACGGCCAGAGACACAAACATGCTGCCCATAGCTGCTTCTAGCACAGGGCCAGAGACACGAACATGCTGTACCAGAGCCGCCCCTAACACACGGCCTGAGATACAAACGTATGGTGCGAAAGAAGTTCAACATACATATGCACAACTCCGTTAAAGCAGTAACACGGATGAGGAAACACAATGCGTCATTGACGAATGTCTAACAATATATTTTGATCCATAAGAGGGTTTTTTTGGGTTAGAGCGCGTAAAAATATACATGTGTTGTAAAAACCCACCACCACCCGACACAGCCAATTAGTAAGGTTTGTCACGTTAACAGAACGTGCCAATTCGTTACTAGTACAGCACACCGGTGTGTTGGAGAGCAAATCCACAACATTTACAATCTGAATACGGCGTCCCCCAACTAGAGAGATAGATGTGGTGTCATCACTTGTGAGCCAATCAGGTGCGAAAACAGGAGGGGGGATTAATGTAGTAATGTAATAATGTAATAATGCGCTGCACCTGCGGGGCTCTGCAGCACCATGAAGCAGTCGGTATGCAGGTGGCCGTAGAGGTGAGCGGCGATCACGTCCGCAAACTCGCTGAACACCGCCACGAGGCGCGCGTTGTACTCGGGCCGCACGAACGTCCCGGGGCCCAACTCGGGCTTGTATCCCGGAGGGACGTGAGCCACAACGTACACCTACAGGCAGCGAGACGCACACATACAGGCGCCAAGACGTACACCCACATCCACCACAACGTACACCTACATGTGGCACGACATACAGGCAAAATGGCATATATACCTACAGGCGCCACGGCGTGCATCTACGGGCACCGCGACGGGACTCATCGTGCCGCCCCCCACCCCCAGGCCTGCCACCTGCCCCCAGCCCCCCACGGCACCTTCTCCTGGTGTCGGCGCGCCAGCGAGAGGACTTCGCGCAGCCAGGCCAGCTGGCCGCCGGGGTCCGGCAGGCCCAGCGTCTGGCGGTTGGGCGTGTAGTACAGGTTGGTGTTGAGGGTGACGACGCGCAGCGCCGCGCTGCTCGCACCGCGCACCAGCTGCGTGTAGAAGCCGGCTGCGCGAATTGGGGGGCGGGGGGAGACACGGCAGTGGTGAGTCGATCGATCCGCTGCTGGATGGATCGAGGCTCGATGAGTGGAGGTGGAGCGAGCGAGTATGGGAATCGGAGTCCGCCCGGGCCGACTCGCGCCACGGGGAGTTTATTGTTCATCGATGATTTGTGTCTGCGCAATATTTTCGATTTCTTGTGCGACGTGGTTGCTCTTGCATCGATTTCTATTTATTTTGCTGCCGAACTTCATGTTGTTTAAAGGAATAGGCTGTACTCTTTCCAGCAAGAAAGATGTTCAAACACCGTTTAGCACTTGGCATCAAGTCTGCAGTAACCACGCATGCTCCTGGTAAAACATGCAAACAAACGTGTTTAGGTAATGTACGCATTAACCTTGAAACTGACTGTCCTACACGAGAGACAGCCTCATCTATGGCCTTGTCTTACCACCGGTGTTCGACCAGAGGACAACGCCAAAAAGCGAACAGCACAGAGACAATGCCAATATGCTCACCCCACCCATGAGTGCTTTGATAATTGCCTGCAGCAACTTGGTCTTCGTGATGTTTCCCTGAAGGACACTACACAACAACCAATGATTATTGTTGTTACTCTTGACCACAATTCCAGTGATGTACCCAAGAGACATTTTAATGGGGGTGGCTGCTGCCTCTGCTTCATTGGGTCGCTCGACCACGCATTCCATCATTCGTGAGAGGTTGGCTTCGTGTGGGAGGAAAGCGGAGAGCTCGGAGAAAATCCGCCACGCACAAGAGGGGTTCGGACACTCGAAGCTTCGCATGGATAGATTCAAGAATGTACTGTGTGTGTGTGTGTCGCTGTGCGCCACTCGCCCTTCCTGAACAAGGCCTGCGACTCCTCCGTGAGCCAGCCGCTCCACATGTCGGCGACGCGGTCGTACAGTTCGCTGCCCGCCACCGGGTCCTGGTCCTGAAACAGCGACAGAGACAAAGATCCCCCCGATAGCCTCTACAGAATTCTTGGAGCCAAGTGCTGAGTTGGGCCACATGCCGACTCTGTACGCTGCAGAGCGTGAGTGAGTGAGTGTGAGTGAGCGTGCATTCTGTGTGAGAGTGGGGAGCGGTAGTGTAACGGTTAGCGCGCTGCACTATGCACCCGGCTACCCGAGTTCGATTCCCGCTCACGGCCAACACTAGTGACGATTATCTGAACCGGTCCTGGGTCTCCCTTAGGTCGACTCAGTCTCAAATGAGTACCTGGTGTGGTGTGTAAACATCGCCACTCGGGAGACAAAGGCGGTCGGTCGTGGTGTTGGCCACCCACGCCCTCGTGTACTGTTCCGGCCTTCATAGGTGCTCGCTAACAGCACTTGCCCCTACAGTCCGTTAAGACTATACGGGGGATCTTTGTGGTATTTGCATGTTATCTCCTGTTCTACATGGGTTCCTCCCATAGCTAAATAACCACATACAGTGTAACCGGTATTGGCCAAACTTCCCAATGCTGGAACATTAAACTGCAAATCGCTCAATTAGATCCACAGCAGCAGCATCAGCATCACCCGCTCTACTGTGAAAACTTGGCAGGACCCTCCTGCACAAGAGCCTTGAGACTCTGAGGCTTTCCTGGGTAAACAAGCGTCATTATAAATAATAATAATTATAATAATCATGATCAGAATGATGATGATGTGAGTGGTGAGGGTGGTGTCACCTGCGGCCAGTAATCGTGATTTCCCAGCGCGGGAATCACGGGCGTGTTCGGGAACGTGGATCGGATAAGCGTCGTGAAATTGCCCATGATCTCAAGCACCTCCCGCGTGGACAGCTCCTTAACAGGCAGGTGCGGGGGGCTGTCCCTGCCGCGACGGGAGATCACACGAAGTCAGATCGCGAGCGGCAAGAGCATTATGCCACCGCCGCCACCGCGGAGCCCACCAAACAACCCGAGCTTCCTCTCTCACCCAGTCTTCTCAGCCTTTGATTGGTCAGCTGGAGTTTGCACGTGGCCAGTGAGCCACAGCTAGAGTGACAGTGCCAGGCCATCGCCTCCTATACGGAGAGTGTCCACGATCGGCGGACGCAGCCCACGCCGCCTCCCGTCAATTCGAGACGGACTCTGGTTACAGATTGGCTTTCTCGCCGTTTAACATCAACCTCACCCCCCGAATTGGTCACGGCTCCGACGTAAAACAGACCACAGTTGCAAGTTCCACAAATTCCCAGCTGCCTTTGCCTCGAACCATCCAGAGGACCCTATCGAGATGAACCATTTCCAGGGTCAAGGCAAACGGAACGTAACGAACAGGGGTTAGCAAAGAACAACGTGCGGGAACGTGCGACGATTTCCAGGGGTTACAGGGCGATGAAATAACACAAGTCACGTGAACAAGATCTCCGTTAAGGGCAGCAGAAAGTCGGCCTGCCTATGAGATCAACACATTCCTCGTAGCTAGCGGTGAACGTCCAGACTCCAACGCTTGACCATTGTGGTGTATAAGACCACTCATTACTCCTCGCTTTGGCCACCTATTCAATCCCATTGTGCAATCGTATTTGTATTAAGTTAATGGACATTCACATTTAGCCCCCAGTAAATCCACTCCTGGACTGGCGCATGGCGGACCGTGACGGCCCTGTGCCCTCCGCCTCCCAAGTTCGTGATCATAAAACAATTTGTCTGTTTTCGTGAAAACTGCGCACATTACAAACTCTTTTTGTTTGTTAATAGAACAGCGTCAGCCCAAGCTCGCAATTCTCGGTCTCGGGCCTAAGCAGGGCCACCAAGGGTGGCAGACGCGGGCCGGGCAGGGTGCCGAGGGCGCAAGCACGCAGGGTTCGAAGGTCGTTGGCACGGACCGAGCACAGTTGCAAAGGTGATGAGGCTGCCAGTTCATCAACTGTTGAGGTGGCACTCTATCTCTGTAACACCACAATTGGCAGACCTATTTTGAGGAAATTCCAGTCGCTGGCACTGAAGTGATGAGCGCCAGACTAAAACACGGTATCACGAGGTAGACGCGAGGCTAAATACCAACGACACGCAGGTACATTTTGTGTTGATATGAGGGATGTACCCTCATGACACCCGGCCACATCGATCAAATCGCTGTTTGCCGAAACTCAAATAGACGTGAACCGGAGCAGAAATCAACCACGACGCGTCGATCCACGTACCGCCAAATAAACAATGGACAGATGGCAGGCAGGTTTTTTGGGTGAGATCGCATAAAAATAAATGTGTCGTTAAGCCACCACAGCCAATTAGTAAGGTTTGTCACGTAAACAAAAAGGAACAATTGATTACAAGCAGCCTCATCAGGCGATTTGCCAGAATTGTGAAGAAGTCTTCCTGTTTGGGTCTGAATGCTTGGGCGGAACGCCGTGGAACGTGCGCGCAGTGGGGGGGAGCGTGAGGGGGGAGCACGGGGGGAGTGTGGGGAGTAGCGTGGGGGGGAGCGTGGGGGGGAGCGTGGGGGGAGTGTTGGGGCTGCGTGGAGGGAGCATGGGGGGGAGCGTGTGGGGAAGTGTGGGGAGTAGCATGGGGGGAGCGTGGGGGGGAGCGTGGGGGGGAGCGTGGGGGGGAGCGTGGGGGGGAGCGTGGGGGGAGCGTGGGGGGGAGTGTGGTGGGGCATGGGGGGGAGCGTGGGGGGGAGCATGGGGGAGCGTGGGGGGGAGCGTGGGGGGGAGCGTGGGGGGGAGCGTGGGGGGGAGTGTGGGGGGGAGCGTGGGGGGAGCATGGGGGGAGCATGGGGGGGAGCATGGGGGGGTACCCGGTCCACACGAGGAAGTCCGGGTCAGGGTCGAGGCTGCGCATGTTCTCCAGGGCGGACTGCACGAGCCGCCAGGCCGAATCACACATGTGTGAGCCGAAGGGGCCCGCGTCGCGCACGGGGAGCCCCCGCGAGGAGCGGCACACCGACTCCGGTACGGCGTCCGCCCGGTAGCTCGGGTCCAGGTGCAGGTCGCTCAGGTGCCAGAACACACCTGGGGGAGTACGTGCGGTGAGACACGTGTGGACACACGTGGAGAGACGCACGGATACGCGCAGGAATAAATACGTGGACATATGCGGGGAGACGCGCGGTGAGACACACGAACACGTGCTTGCGGGGTTTCTAAAACTCAGAGCAAATACGGGAAGTGAGGAAATTAACTTCATGAACAGCGCTGCAAATTTCGGTTCTGGAAATATATTACGACAGGGTCGTCGCTACGATAAACGGAAGTCATTTCCCAAGTCAACGGGAACAACTTTACGAGGAAAGCTGCAAAGTTGGGCTCGTAAAGAGTTGGAGGGTGAGGAAGGTGAGGCGAGGAAGGTGGGGCGGGTCGGGAGAGACGATGGGCCGCGATTGCCACAGGCCCATGAGCAAGTTATTGACAGCAAGCTGCGTCAACACAATTAGCGATCACAGAGGCATCGGTGGACAGGGCCAAGGGAGGCCACATGGAGCGACTTCCTTGGGCGTCGAGGAGCCATTGGGGATCATCTCCCATTTACATCCCTTCAGAAGAAGTGGTGGAATATGTCATTCCTATGATGAGGGCGAGTCTACCCATAGAATAACCTACAGTGGTACCTATTTTATCAACCTAGAAACATGATGGGCTGAGTAAGCCCCCATAACTTGGATTTGAACTCACGACCTTCCGATCATGCTCGCTCTCGCGCTGAGCCACCTGAGAGGCACTCCAGGGGCGATGTTCACTTTTGTTTCCACACAGCATCATCGTCGCCACTGTGCACATCGCGTTTCTCGCGAACACCGAGGAGGGACCACGAGCGCGAGCGGGAAGGCAGCGGCCAGGCGGCAAGGAGCCGGTGCTGTCAACAATTGGCCGAGCTCTGCGGCCCCCTACATATTAAGCTGTCAGCCAATGAATGAATATTTACAGGCGTGGAAGGAAACTGGAGCATTGGGAGAAAACCTGCGCGTACAAGGGGGCAACACGATATCCCATACAGAGGGGACCGGTGGAGATTAGTCCGGACCTCCTCGTGTCGACTGTGTACCGCGCTGATCTCCTCCGGACCACGCTCGAGTGACCGTTCCGCGGAACGAACGGAGAGAGCGAGCTCATCACGAGCGCGGTCTGCCGCCGTCTCCTGGCGGGCCGGGGAACGGCGACCCTCCTCGACACCCGCAGGAAGGGGAGTTTGGCAACCCGAAGTTGCGGTTCACCGGCCCATGGCGCTGCCTTCCACACTTCTTGATTACGGGCCACGTGCAGCGTAGCCGCCGCCACTGCCATCCGGCTATGATGAGAGAGGGTTTGGGGAGCTGTAAGGGAGTGGACCACGCGTTGTTGCTCTGGGGCTTGCATCCGAGCGGCGAGCGCGGCTACGGGAGGCGACGCTGGGTGCGGGGGGGCTTGCTGGAGGCGACCCCGTGGTCGTGCCGGCTACGACCCACGACCCAGATCCCCCCTCCCGCTTCCAGAGACGACAACTCGCAACGTTCCCACGTCCGTCCCTTCACGTAAAAACGAATAAGCAGGCTTTTGTTTTACACATCCCATCAGCAGCTAGGCCTTCTGGGAGCACGTGATATCTGCAGGATTGGTTCAATACAAGCAACACTGAGGTAAATGTATCTGTCAGCGGAACACGTGTTAGACAGCACTCAAGTACAACGTGGTGGCACTGTAGAGGCAGCTCGCTCGACGGTAGTGCGAGCAGCTCACGCAATCGGAAAAGTCAAGAGTTCGAATCCTGTTTGGGGATTGACAAAGCCCATCATCCCTTCGGGTCGATAAAATAGGTACAGAACAACGAAGTCAGCTGTGGTTGTCCTATGGATAAACCCGCCCGCACCATATGAATGTGAAATTACCATCACTGGGCCCGGAGCTGTGAACGGGGAATGAGCACCGATGCCTCAGTGCTAATTTGAGCCGGAAATCACCCAACTCTCACGGGAGGAAAGTTTACTACAAAGACCCCGATGTATTTACCTTTGCCTCCACGAGCCCGGAGTGCCGCTGCCATGGCCGTGTGGAGGAGGCAGCTGGCCCCGAGCAGCAAGAGCAGGAGGAGGAAGAGGAGACTCCTCGGCAGGGGCGCTGACAGCGCCATGTGCTGCTCGCTGGTCGTGGCGACTGCTGTCCACAGCTGTGTCCGGGAACTCCTTCCCAGCGGGGGAACCCCCCCTCCCCGTGACGTCACCTTCCCAGCGCGCGAGACCCCGCCCACGGCGCTCGAGAGATTCAACACGTCTATAAATAAACAAATATATACCCACGTTTTTCAATAACACCGTGGCATGAAAAGGAAAATATATAAAAGGTGATAATGGCCCTTCTTTATAACACTTCATCATACAAAGGCCAGAGGGACGAGTGAATCATAGGGACTGGACTCTCCACAATGTTGTCTTCATTTATATAATCGTTTGTTAAAGCATGAAAATATACACTATTCAAGTGCATTACTTTCTATAGCAATATGAATACAAATATTATTTTCTGATAGTACGTTCGTGCACAAGCAAAAATATAAATATATTCTTAAAACGTAACACACGTCATTTGATATGCTATGAAGAAAGGTCATTACCTGAATCATCGCCGATTGTATATTTCACGAATGTGTTCATTCTTTTGTATATTGATAAGGTAAGAGGAAGCACCTCCTAACTAATGGTTAATAATTAATTAGACAGGCAGGTTCATTAACTAACTTATGCATATCCTATTCTTGGTTCTTTCGGTAAAGTCACGTATAAGGGAAACAATAAAATAATAAAAATATAAAACAATAAAATTCTCACGACGTTTCGACTGCAACACAAGCAATTATCATCAGGTATGAAAATCACAACAAGAAAATTTTTCACATTTTTTCAAATTTTCTTGTTGTGGTTTTCACACCTGATGATTAATGCTTGTGTTGCAGTCGAAACGTCGTGAGAATTGTATTGTTTTATATTTTTTTATTTTATTGTTTCCCTTCTACGTGACTTTACCGAAAGAACCAAGAATATGAATCCGTGCAGTGACGAAAGCTTTAAATCAAAATTTATGCATATCAATTAGGGGGCGTGTTCATATTATTCTAACATGAATATTAATCTTCTAGGATATTTAGGTAAAGTGACGTAGAATGGAAATAACATAATAATAAAAATAATAATAACAGAATAAATATTTTATTATTATTTTATCTCCATTCTACGTGACTTTACCGAAAGAACCCAGAAGATGAATCCCTGCAGTCACGAAAACTTTAAATCGAAATTAATATTAATCTAGCAGACCGGTTCATATTTAGTCATGAATATTAATGTAACAGGCGGGTTTCTAGAAACCACCTCATGAATATTAATTAGCGGGAGGGTTCATCTTGCCGCGTCACGTGAGCCGGGGTGAGGGGTCGCAATGGGGACCCCACGCGGCCCCGGGCGCCGCTTATTGAATTCCTTACAGCGGATAGGCGCCGCCTGCCCGCGTCCCGCCACGCGATTTGTTGGCGCGTATCGCGAACCCCGCTCCCATTGGTCAATTGTGCCCGAAGCGACCGACGGGAGCCAATCAGGGCATTGCACCGCCTATACGTGCTAGGAAATTCCAAGCCGCTAGCGCGCGCCGCCATCGCTCCCCGAGGCTTCTCCTCGGCTCCTCGTTCCGCCTCAGCCTCCTTTGCTTCTCCATCGTTGTTGTCGTCTCCACCCCCCTCCTCTTCATTCTCGTTCCTTTTCTTCGCCGCCCTCGCCTCCTGCCCGCGCGGAGCCGCCAAGGCCAGGCCTCCTGCCTCTCGCCCGGCAGCAGCGTCGCCAGCACCGCCAGCACCATGTCTGATCCGGTCGGTGGGAGCGCGGCGAAGGGGTCCCAGCAGGGTCCCTGGGGGTGCTGGGACGTAGAGAATTGTGGTGGAGTAAGGGATTGTGGGAGTGCAAGCGGGTGGAGTGTCGGGAATTGTTGAGGCGGAGGGGTTTTAGTCGTGACGGGAGGGGATCGTGGGGGTGTTGGGATCGTGGGGGTGTTTGGGATCGTGGGGGTGTTTGGGATCGTGGGGGTGTTTGGGATCGTGGGGATGTTGGGGATCGTGGGGGTGTTGGGGATCGTGGGGATGTTGGGATTTGTGGGGGTGTTTGGGATTTGTGGGGGTGTTGGGATTTGTGGGGGTGTTTGGGATTTGTGGGGGTGTTTGGGATTTGTGGGGGTGTTGGGATCTGGGGGAAGTTTCGGATCGTGGGGGTGTTTGGGATCGTGGGGGTGTTTGGGATCGTGGGGGTGTTGGGATCGTGGGAGTGTTGGGGATCGTGGGGGTGTTTGGGATCGTGGGGGTGTTTGGGATCGTGGGGGTGTTTGGGATCGTGGGGGTGTTTGGGATCGTGGGGGTGTTGGGATCGTGGGGGTGTTTGGGATCGTGGGGGTGTATGGGATCGTGGGGGTGTTTGGGATTGTGGGAGTGTTGGGATTGTGGGAGTGTTGGCGATCTTGGGGGTGTATGGGATCGTGGGGATGTTGGGGATCGTGGGGATGTTGGGATTTGTGGGGGTGTTTGGGATTTGTGGGGGTGGTTGGGATCGTGGGGGTGTTGGGATTGTGGGGTAGTTTGGAATCGTGGGGTAGTTTGGGATTGTGGGCTTGTTGGGATCGTAGGGGTGTTTGGGATTGTGGGGGTGTTTGGGATCGTCCTGGTGTTTGGGATTGTGGGGTTGTTGGGATCGTAGGGGTGTTGGGATTGTGGGATAGTTTGGGATTGTGGGAGTGTTTGGGATCGTGGGGGTGTTTGGGATCGTGGGGGTGTTTGGAATTGTGGAAGTGTTGGGATTGTGGGAGTATTGGGGATTTGGGGGGTGTTTGGGATCGTGGGGATGTTGGGGATCGTGGGGGTGTTGGGATCTGGGGGGTGTTTGGGATCGTGGGGGTGTTTGGGATTGTGGGAGTGTTGGGGATCTTGGGGGTGTTTGGGATCGTGGGGGTGTTGGGATCGTGGGGGTGTTTGGGATCGTGGGGGTTTTTGGGATCGTGGGGGTGTTGGGGATCTTGGGAGTGTTGGGGATCTTGGGGGTGTTGGGGATCGTGGGGGTTTTGGGGATCGTGGGGATGTTGTGATTTTCGGGGGTGTTTGGGATTTGTGGGGGTGGTTGGGATCTGGGGGAAGTTTCAGATCGTGGGGGTGTTGGGATCTGGGGGGTGTTTGGGAATCGTGGGGTGTTGGGATCGTGGGAGTGTTGGGGATCTTGGAGGGTGTTGGGATTGTGGGGGTGTTGGGGCTCGTGGGGGTGTTGGGATCGTGGGGGTGTTGGGGCTCGTGGGGGTGTTGGGATTGTGGGGGTGTTGGGATTGTGGGGGTGTTGGGATTGTGGGGGTGTTGGGATTGTGGGGGTGTTAGGGAGCGTGGGGGTGTTGGGGATCGTGGGGGTTTTGGGGATCTGTAATAGATTAACGAGTTGTGAATTATGAGGGTGCTGGGATTGTGTTTGGGATTGTAGGGTTGAAGGACTTAAGGCTGATTTGTGGGTCCAGGGATATAAGGTGGCATCTAGCGATGGAGGTGATATGGAGTTTATGGCTCCAGGGGGTATTAACATTGTCGAAGATCTAGATGTGTATGAGGTTATGGATTTAGAGTTCTATGCGGTACAGGAGTCAGAATGGCCTTTGAAATCGATGATTTCGGGCTGTTTAGGGGGTTGTGGTTTAGGTGGCCGACGTGTTTTATAGGTTTAGGGGTCAAGGAATCCTGGGGTGGGGTTCTTCAGGTACAGGGTTCTGGCGGTTAGAAGGTTCTAATTATTCTAGGTATTTGGGGAGTTTTTATGTAAAGCTTTCGTGACTGCAGTGATTCATATTCTTGGTTATTTCGGTAAAGTCACGTGACTTTACCGAAAGAACCAACAATATTTGGGGAGTGTTTCGAGTTGTAGGGGTCCCAGGTGTAGGGTTTCATTAGTGTAGAGGCTCGGGGCTATACGGCATTCGGGATCTTGTTTCGCAGGTTCCAGCAGGTGTACATTTCAGGGGGAGTCTTGGCATCCAAGGGATCCTGGGGGTCTCGAGATCTGGGTTCTGGTGTTTAGAGGTCTAAAGGTACGCGGAGCGTTGGGTGGCTGGAGACCTAGGATCTAAGGAATAATTTTCTTCAGCGGTGTAGGGGTCACGGAGGTATTCTCAACCCCACTCGCATCTGCTCATGTGCGAAAGGGACCTGGGACCCGATGTATCTTGTGCTCACATACGTTTCACTTTGCCATTTGTGTCCCTGTGTGCGCATGGCTGCGTGTTTTTCTACGTGTATTTGTTTGTGTCTGTGTGTGTGCGTGCGTACCATTTCAAATGTGTGCAATTCGAATGTTTTGTGTTGCGTTTGGAATTATTGTACGTGCCCACTTATGCGTGTATTGCATTTTCAGTGTTGTGTGTGCCCATGCATGTGTGTTTGGCAATTAAAATATTTTGGTGTGTTTCTATTTTCGCATTTCGAATGTTGTATATACAGTATCTATGTGGCCATGTGTCTTTATTCATGTGTGTGTGTATGTGTGTTGGTGTGTCCACGTGTGCCCACGTGTGTCTTGTGTGTCCGTGTGTGTATCGTGTTTGTTTGTATTCGTTTGTGTGTTAGTTGGTCTATGTATTTGTTATTTGTATCCAGGTACAGTATATTTATTCGTGTGCCTGATGTATATCCGTGTGTGTATCTGTATGTGTGTTTCTGTGTTTGTGCTTTGGCATATATCTGATTTTGTGTATCTGTTCATTTGTGTGGCTCTGTGTCTGTGTATCCGTATTTGTATATTTTTTGTGCGTCTTTGTTTGTCTTGTATCCGTGTGTGCATATTTATCTGTACCTGTGTGTGTAAGCGTGTGTATGTATCGATGTGGCCGTGTAACTGTATATATGTGTGTGTATCCGTGTGTGTCTGTGTGTATCCATGTGTGTGTCTGTCTAACCGCGTGTGTCTTTCTGTGTCCGTATTTGTTTCTCCTCATTGCGGCGCTGCCAGAGAGCAAAGGGGCAGCAGCAGCAGGTGTTGAACGGTGAGTGACCACGCTGGTGTGGAATGGGTGGATGAGCTGGGACTGATCATCCATCGTCATCAATTATAATCATCCATAATCATCATCAATTATAATCATCCGTCATTGTCAATTAGCGATTGCGAGCATCGTAAGGATTAGTTTGCAGCAGCAGCAGCAGCAGTCACAGCGTCTTTATCATTCTTAATCATTCACGCAATCGGAAGGTCACGAGTTCAAGCCATGGTTGGGGGATGGGGGTTGACTCAGCCCAATTTCCCTCCTTCCAGGGTCGATAAAATGAGTGCCACGTTGTGGGGAAGTCAACAGTGGCTTTCCTATGGATAGACTCGCCCCTACCATTGCTATAAATGGGAGATGAGCACCAATACCTCTGGTCATTGGAACAGGGAATTCACTTTGACTTTTGCACGATCATCTGAATAATGAGATGCATCATACTTTAATATTTGTCAACCGCATAAAGAATTGCAATGTATTGAGTGTCATTATTTTACTAATTATCGGTGACATCTTCATGAGTGACATCGGAAATGTCATCACCTTAATCGTCATCGTCTGTATCGTCTGTAGCATCGCCATCCACAGCAAGATCACATCCGTCATCGTTAGTCAAATCGGCAGCATCACCATGGGCATTATGTCTAATGTCATCAAGAGCGTCATCATCCTCATCATCAATAGCATCATCAGAAAAGTCACGATTGATAAGCTCATCATTACCATAATTTATAGCATCATCAGCAGTGTCATCCTCATCATCGGCATACTTGGTAGCCTTACCATGAGTAACTTAGTAGCAAAATGTTCTGCGTTGTCATCATTAGGATCATATCATCATGAGTGTTATCAGTAACATTAGCAGCATCATAATCATTCGTAATCCTCATTGCCTTGAAGATAATCATTGGGAACTATAAACTCATCGGCATCGCTTATCATCAGCCTCATTATAAGCATCGATACCGTAGAGGTTAACGTGGAACGGTGTCACCGGCCATCAAATCCTTGAACCAGCGTCATCGGTTAACAGAATGCGTCGGTTTTTCATCCTGATTTCCTGGGTTGTTATTCTGACTTCCTGGATTTTTCTGAATATGCTTGACGCGATTTCATGTGAAACATCACGCAGCTGATCACCGTAAAATCTTGCCATGAGAATTGTTCTCTCACTCACCCGGTGAATGAGCTGAAGCAATCATAGTTTGTGTGTCGTTATACGCTTGTACGCATAACTAATTAATTTGTTTGGGCTGCGTCAGGTGGTGGAGAGTTCTTAACGACACAGATTTAGCCGGGTCATTATATAGCCTGAACCCAACAAAATGTTTCTGCCGAATGTTGGCGTGATGGTACAGTCGTGAGACCGATCCCTGCGTTGCGACATATTCGCTCGACGCCGCTCTCTCCTCTAGGTATTCAAAACGTCGCCAATCACCGGAAGGATGGGAGCAGCCACGGCGACTTTGAGACTTACCTGAGCAGTCAGACCGAGCAGGTGAGTTGGGGTGGACATTGACAGCCAGAGCCGTCCCGAGCATATGGCAAAACGGGGCGACCACCCCGGCCCCAGCACTTTGGGGGGCGGGGGCCCCACGCTTCAACGTCACGGCGTCAGATGTAATACTTGCAGTTTAGTTTGAAGTCGTCGGGGGGCCCACAAGGAGTGAGTTGCCTGGGCCACGCACCCCATAGGGATGGCCCTGCTGACGACGTCGATAAAAAGAGCACCGCCGCGTGGGGAAGTGATTGTTCTACGTGTGGACTCGCTATCGTCTTAAGAATATGGACTTTCCACCACTGGTCCATGGCTGTAAACTGATGAGGTCCAATGCCTCAAGGCTGATGTGAGCAGGAGATCACTCTGACTTGACTACCAATAATTGCATCTACGAGCCAGTAGGGTTGAAAATCAATGATTGATTTTTCGGTAATTGTTCTTGTAATTGATTTTAGATTCCAAAAGTCATGGAATCAATAATCGAATCCGGTTCAGTTTTACAAACGGTAGAAACCATTCGCCCACGAACATCTTTAAACTTACAGCACTTTCTTCTTTGGTTCTTTCGGTAAAGTCACGTAGAATGAGAATAAAATAATAAAATAAAACAATAAAATTCTCACAACGTTTCGGCCACAACACAAGCGGCCTTCATCAGGTGAAGGGACGAGACTGTCTGGAGGACAGCGCTGATGAAGGCCGCTTGTGTTGTGGCCGAAACGTCAGAATTTTATTGTGTTATTTTATTAATTTATTATTTTATTCTCATTCTACGTGACTTTACCGAAAGAACCAAAGAAGATGAATCCTTGCAGTCACGAAAGCTTTATATCGAAATTTACAGCACTTTGTCATTCCACTGCTGGATGAAGGCCTCGTTACATCTGCCTTCGAGCTTTCTTGACCATACTTTACCGCGCGGGCCGGTGTAGGCCAGTAACATTTCTGAAAACCGATTATCGATGGCGCTAAGGTTTTTTTTGTTCCATACGGTTGTCGATAATGCGTAAATAAGTTGCCGCTCTGAGCTGCCAATGGCTGCGCTCAGTCTGAATGACGGCCAAACCCGAGCATGTGGCACGGGCTGGAGACGCTGCGGCCCAGCGGCAGAGGGTTAGCCACTTGTTGCAGAGGTTCGTGGTTCGAATCCGCCGGGCCGCCCTGTTGAATACCGGCACTGTAAAACGGCGTGGTAATTGTAAAACACTACGACGCGCCATCTGCTTCTTCAGAGTGGACTTTTAAGATCCCTTGATGTTGTTCAAAAGAGTAGGTCGTTGTGTGCCGGAGTCAAGGCCCAAATTCTTCAAAAATCATCCTGCAAATTACTCCGTTGCAATTATGCACAGCAGCAATCATTGCCTGCCTCCCCCCACTTACTGGCAGACTGAAGCCTGCTCAAGGCAGACGCTGAGTAAACTTGTACCGCACTTGGACAGGTGTCACTGGGGGTGCCCTTTCAAATGTGTTGAGCGCAGAAGTGACCCGTCATGTGTTAAATGCCGTTGAGACACCCCGGTGTAAATAAAACATGTATGATTCGTAATTGCTGAACAAATCATTACAATTCATTGTTAGTGTGAATAAAGGTTTAAACGGGAGATGGACTGAAGCCATTGAGACGCGTGATAGCACAATTGCCTGTGTAGCACGAGGGTGGCCCCCGTGGGTTACACCAACAACGAACGGGTGCTGGATGGCTCACGGAAAACCGCCGTGGCCTCTGCTCGCCAGTAAGCACCGCGCGTCGAGATGCAGTCGCATCTGCGCTACCCTACCTACGTTGTAAATCCGCGTTGTGCACGGTGGTGAAATACCACCGTGCTGCGCAGAGCAGCTGCTGCTGCGTAACGATCCTTCGTCAGAGTCTGCACGTACAGCAGAAAGATTTGCCACTTGGTACAGCCTCTCTGTAATCCGGCTAAGCAGATGAGCCTGGTCTGATGAAAGGCCATTTGCCTGAAACGTCACCTATTATATTAAAAAAGGCCACACTGTTAATCATTTTTTTGACTTTTTGGTTTAGTCATGGATTTGCACAACACTAATGTAAACATTGGAACGATCCATTAACAATTGATTAAAATATTAGGTTTGTAGAAATCGTTGCAGAAATGTCTAGAGCAATAAAGACAACGCGTATGTTGGGTTTTTGAATGGAGAGACGAAGTCAGCTGCCTCGGTGGTAGCATGGTGGTTGGTGTCATGCTGTGACTGCCATCCTCAGGTAGCTGGTTCAACCCCATCTCCTGGCTCAGCAGTTGAAACAACGGTGCGAGGTTTTTTGAATTGCAGCTTCTTAAGTTGTGATGACGGATGGTACTCACCAGGCCAGACAGTGGCATTGTAATATATGGAGTGTGTTCTATACATGGAAGTGTGTGATCCGAGTTTCTGTAATCTGCCTGCCGCCTCTGTCAACCAAGAGGCACAGTTAAGTCAATTGGCAGGTCACCATGTGTGGTGGTGGGGTAAAGTGTGGGTGTTCCCACATCACCTGGTCAGCATGGAAGAGTAGGGCAAATACCACTCGACTCCCTCTTGCGGGGAGGTCCCGTGACGCCATTCTCACGGGTGGCGATTTTGTGCAGGCGCTCTGGTCCAAAGTTGCCAAATCTGAAATGTGACACCACAAATTATACAACTGAGAATGTGGGGATGTACATCGCAATAACGACCCCCTAACTATATATATTCTTAGTTTTTTCGGTAAAGTCACATTGAAGAGAAACAACAAAATAACAAAATATATATAAAACAATAAAAAATTCTCACGACGTTTCGACCATAACTCAAACGGTCATCATCAGGTGTGTTGGTTTGCATAAATTTATTTTTAAACGGCAAAATAAATTTATGCAAACCAACACACCTGATGATGACCGTTTGAGTTATGGTCGAAACGTCGTGAGAATTTTTTATTGTTTTATATATATTTTGTTATTTTGTTGTTTCTCTTCAACGTGACTTTACCGAAAAAACTAAGAATATGAATTACTGCAGTCACGAAAGCTTTAAATCAAGACCCCCTAACTGTCAATTATTGGCAGCACCCTCCCGATTAGCACGGTTGGCTACGTACGGTGCGAAAAGTTCAACATACGTACATACATGCGAATGGGACCCATTAAACGAGCGTAATAATAATATTGTTCAGGGCGCTACCATTCACTGCAACGTTTTTAAAAGAATAACTCTTGCGTTGAGTTACGACCCGGAGTGGTGGCATTTTGTTGGAATTTCTTGCACGAGTTTTAAATTCTGCAGCCGTAATGGCTACGACAGTGGTTCACTTTTCTGTACGGCCACCACGTACCGCGTCACACGTGAATAGTCAAATCGGGCGACTCCTACAGCGACTTACCGGTTCTGGCTGTTCCGTCTTGCGCAGTGGGCTCTTTTAAAAGGCCATTGGGTGGCTGGTAATGCACCCCCGAGGGCATCCTCCTCACATTTTTGGCACAACACAAGGCAAGCTATCGACGCTCTTTGTCTCCCCCCCAAACCTAATCCCGGGCCTTGTATTTGTAACCTTCGACCTGCACCTTCCCCGCACCCATTCATCTTTGTTTATTCTCCTTGAGGTGTGATGGCTTTCCGGCCTCGCGTCTCTGCGATCCCCCTGCCCTCCGCCGCGTCCAGTCGCGTGTCGGCAGGGCGCACGCGACAGCTCGGCCGGCACCACGGCAACTTGGCCGGCTCCGCTCGTCTCCGCGCCGCCGTCATTTACTGTCGCGTGCGGTGGGGCCGTCACAGTCGCTTCGGATGGGTTAACGGTGCCCGCGTCTCGTCGCCATACACGCCGCTCCACGTATTCCGGTCTTCCCTGCATCCCGAGGACTTTGCTCCGAGGGCCACTGCCGGATTTGCTGCCGTGTGGCACCCCTCCCCCCAGATTCTGGAATGCCCCCACCCCCCAGCCGAATCGGTGACTCGGATGGGGGGGGGCCACGGTCGATGTTTTGAAGTCACGACTGGAAACTCAGGTCTGTCCCGCTGCTCGTGGAGCACTGGATCAGACTCGAACCCAGGCTTTTCATAGGTGAGCTGGCAAGGACCATTGAGCCAAGCACCTCTGCTACAAGGACAAACACTTTGGTCAATAATAACGGTGGCCTTACATAAAAACATATATAATAGGTGACGTTATGGGCAATGTCCCTTATTTATGAAGGACCCAGTTCCGAACCGTCGCCTATTGTACATGTTTATTTAAGGCCTGCTGTCCGGAGGCCGCTGTCGGCATGCTCTGCCGGTTACCTGTCGCTGCCTGAGCCGCGCGACCTAAAACGAGGAGTTGCGCACAGTAGGCCCAAAGGCCCAAAACGTCACGCGGCCAGCAACACAAAATCACTGTCTAAAGTAGTAACGGGTAAGCGTTTCCACCGATCTTGAATCGAGCATGGTTATTGTAAAAGTTCGGGGAAAGAGAAGACGGAAATCACTTTGAAGGCCCTGCTAAAAACAGTTTTACACGAACGTTAAATTCGAATTGGTTATAGAGGCACCCTGTGGTCGAATGGACATGGGGGATGGACACACAGACAGAGCTGATAATACGCAATCGCTTTGATCCTCGCTTTGAAATCGTGAGTAGAAATCTGGAGGTGCGTGCCGGACATAGCGTTCAGCGGGCGGATCGCGTTTCCCACGGCCCCAGCATTTGTTACGATGGTTGCCGCCGATGGAGCGTGGGGTCTGTAATCGGGGCGGGTGAGCTAGTGAGCTGGTGAGCCGGTTAGCATGTTAACTGGAGAGCATGTGAACTGGTGTGGGAGCTGGTGAGCAGGTTAGCTCTTGAGCTGGTGAGCTGGAGAATGTGTGCGGTGGTAAGCAGGTGAGCTTTTGAGTGGGGTTAGCTGGTGAGCGAGAGAGTGTGAGATGGTCAGCGGGTGAGATGGTGAGTGGGTAAGCTGGTGAGCAGGTGAATGTGTGAGCTATAGAGTGGGTGAGATGGTGAGTGTGTAGGCTAGTGAGTGTGAGCTGGTGAACAGGTTATCTAATCTAAGTGTATATTTATAGATCACTTTCACTCAAGGCGCATGACATAGTAAAAGAAAATGGTGACAGAACAGAATGATTTTGATGGCAGGGGCATGAAAGGATTCAGGAATGAGTGACTATGGTAGAGGGTATTTAGGGATCATGAAAGCGGACGGGAGGGACGGGAAGCAGTGGAGGGGTAGGGGAGGGGAGGGAAGAGGAAGAGAATGGGCAATAGAGAAGAGGTGAGGCTGTGAGAAGAGCGGAAGGAGGTTAAGGGTTAATGTACAGGGGAAGTTGATTCCAGTGAGGGATACAAGGAGGGAGGAGGACCAGAAACGGGATTGAACACGGAGGAGGAGTGACACCATTCTTTATTTTCTTTCTACCTGAAGAAGACCGCTTGTGTTGCGATCGAAACGTCATGGGTTTTTTGCTTTTAATTTTGGTTTTGGTTTTCTATCTACGTGACTTTAACGAAATAACAAAGAATATAGAGACAGAGAAGATGGGACATGGAAGGATTTGAGAGAGACAAGGCTATAGAGAGCTGGAGAGTATTTTAACTGGTGAGCGGGTGAACAGGTTAGCTGGTGAGCGTGTGAGTAAGCGGGTTAGCTGGTGAGTGCAAGCTGGTGGGTTTAAAGGGTGTGTGAGATGGTGAGCGAGTTAGCTGGTGCGCAGGTGAGTGCCCCATGCTGGGTTACGCTTGTGCAGTGGCTCTATCTATCGGTGAAATCCGAAACCCGCTAAGATTTTGATCCTCGCTGTCCGTTTCTGTTTGCGAGTTCACGTAGCCAGATGGTAACAGGAGGACGCTAACAGTGGTGGCGGTGTAAGCGCGGACACGCGCGCTGCACTCGTGCTGCGGTCTGTGACAACAGCAGCCGCCACGTGCCAGGCTGGGTGCACTTTGATGCCGCAACATGTATCGTGGGAGGCTCTCCCTGCTGGCAGGGGGTCACGGGACAGACCCAGGTGTTGGGGGTTGATTGACCAATTTTGAGTCTGTGAGTGGGAGAGGGTGAGCCCGTGAAGCTCCTATGGAGCTCTTGGTAGTGGTAACACAGATGGATTTAAGAATCCTGGGCTGTGCAGCCACCTCTTGGCCAGACCTTGCAGCCCATATCTACAAACACCACCACAACAGGCAGCCTCTCAGCCAAGTGATAATAATAATCATCTTTATTTATAGAGCGCCTTTCATACGGAAAGGTTGAAGGGACTTCACGCATGCTAAGAAAAAAGAAAAACATTTTACAAAGACAAATGTTGTGAAAACACTCAGGAAATTATAAAAATACATCAAGGGAAAGAAACATGATAAAACAGTCAAATTATTATGAAATGCCAGAAAAAATAAGGTTAAATTATAGAAACAAAACCTGATGCAGAGTTTGGCACTCAGGGAGCGCAAACTCAGACGGCCATCTCCTCTCCTGCTGAGGCTGACCGTCACGATGCAGAGCAGTGGTCACGACACCCGATTTAAGAGCTTCTTGGCTCACAGGGTACTTCAAAATAAACTGAAACTGAACTGACGACCATGCGCACTGGGCCTGACAGGGAGATAACGGCTTGCTCTTAACCAGGCTCAGCCTGACCTTGGCCTGCCAGATCAGGCATGTTCAAGCTGATTTCGTTGGTCACAATGTAACGAGGTGCTGTATCTAATGGGGAGGGTCCTTGCTCGTAAACATCTGGAAATTCACTGCCATTGATGAAAGTTAGCCTGACTGCTGATGAGACACTAAATGTCGAAACCAGTCCAGAGTTTGCCACCTTGCTTCAGAATTTCCTCCAGATTGTCTCTTGTCCCCAAGCTCTTACAATGATAACCTTGTTCAATTCCAGTAACGTGTTACACGCTGATCTATTACAGCTTTGATAGTGCTGTTTGTTACTGGCCTTATGACGTTTTGGGCTTGTGCTCATCAGTTATTTATGAAAAAATACACAGAATTGTATAGAGACCCCCAGACCCGCACAGGGACCCGTGCCGTGTGACCGTGTAATTCGGTCCCCGTGTGGCGCCGCGTGCCGCCCCTGCAGAGCAGCAGCTATGCAGCCGTATCGGAGGCCTACGTGCCGGCCTACTATGGCCCCTCGGTGGCCTTCTCCTCCTACTCGCTGAGCTCCGAGCCGGCCTGGTCCACGGCGGGCGCCGACCCGGCCGTGCCGTACATCGCCCACCACTACGGGCCGCCGGGGGCCCTCGCCAACGGGGATGCGCCGCTGTCCCACCACCACCACCACGTGTCGGCGCACGGGCACCCGCACCCGCACGCCCACTTCATGGCCGACCCCGGCTACCTGGGTGGCGCAGCGACCGCCACCACCCCGGCGGCCGCGTACATGAGCCAGCGGCAGCAGCACGCCTTCGGCTTCTTCCCCGGCGGGCCCGAATTCGCGGCCTGGCTGAGGCCGTCGGGCGGCGGCGGGGCAGCGGGCGGCGTCGGCGGCCAGGGCGGCCTGCGCGGCTCGCCTGTGTCGTCGCCCATCTCGGTGGCGTACGGCAGCGGTTACGCCTTCCCGCCCAGCTCGCTCGGCGGGGCGGCCGTCGTGGACCCACAGACCGGCTCGTTCGCCGGCGGCGTGAGCCGGGCGCCGGGCCATGTCGGCGCCACCGCCTCCGCCGTATCCGGTGGAGGAGGAGGCGGCGGCGGCGGCGGGGGGAGCCCCGGCGGCGTGGCAAGCGGCGTGGTTGTGCTACAGCAGGGCGTGGGCGGTCTCCGCATCGGTGGAGACTCCCGCGAGCTGCCCGCCGGCGGGAAACCTGGCGCGCCACCGCCGGTGGCAGCCGGACCGGATCTGGTGGCGCAGGCCGTGGCGGCGACGAGCGCGGCGGCGGCGCCGCAGGCCAAGCCAGCGCCGGCGTCCTGGGCGTCCATCGCCAGCAAGCCGGCCCGGCAGCAGCTGGCGCCGAGGTCGGTGAAGGGCGGCGGCGGGGGCGGCGCGGGGAAGATGGCCAGCGGGACGTCGGTGCCGCCCCCCCCCATCAAGCACAACATGGACATCGGCACGTGGGACGGCAAGGGCCCGGTCAGCAAGGCCACGCCGCCGCCGCAGTTCGCTCAGCCCGCCGACGGAGCTCTGGCACTGGGGAAACCGCAGGGCGACGCCGGGCAGGAGCAGGCCCAGGCCTCGGCCTCCATGTCGGTGGACGCCATGCAGGTGTCCGCGCAGATGTCTCACTCCATGTCGCCGCCGCCACTGCCGCAGCAGCAGCAGCAGCAGCAGCCGGTACAGACCTTGCAGCAGCAGCAACAGCAGCAGCAGCAGCATCAGCTGCAGTCGTACATGATGCAGCAGCAGCAACACCAGAACTTTCAGCAGCAAAGCCATTACCATCACCAGCAGCAACAGCAGCAGCAGCAGCATGAACACCAGACTCTGCAGAATGGTTATTACGCGATGATGCAGCGCCAGCCAAATATCAACCCGGCTATGCAGCCTCCGCAGGTGCAAGCACCGTTTCAAGAGCATCAGCAGCAACAGCAGCAGCAACAACAACATCATCAGCATCAACAGCAGCAGTCGGATCGCTGGGTGGCTTCACGCAGCTGTGGGCCAGCAATGCTAACTCAAAACGGGAGCCAGCCTGCTCCTATCACCTCCTTGCCCCAGACACGGCACCAGCTCAACCAGCAGCAGCAGCAGGCTCCTCCTCGACAGAGCTTGCAGCAGCAGCAGCAGGTAACGGCACCGTCGTTTGCCGGCGACGGGAGTGGCGGCGGCGGCGGCAGCGCGCCTGGCATCGGGGAGCCGGCGCCGGCTCCGCTACAGGCGCCGCCGCCGCTGCTGCTGGAGAAGCTGCATTCGCACAACGGCTACAACCCGAGCGACTTCGACTGTAGCCCGCGTGACCTGCGGGCCTTTATCATCAAGAGCTACTCGGAGGACGACGTCCACCGCTCGGTCAAGTACTCCATTTGGTGCAGCACCGAGCACGGCAACCGGCGGCTGGACGGCGCCTACCGCGCCATGCAGGGCAAGGGCCCCGTCTACCTCCTCTTCAGCGTCAACGGCAGCGGCCACTTCTGCGGCGTGGCGCAGATGACCTCGCCCGTGGACTACCAGACGTGCGCCGGCGTGTGGTCGCAGGACAAGTGGAAGGGCAAGTTCGAGGTAAGCCTTTGAAACGCACACGTGGAGTCCACGCCACGTGGCGAGAGAGAGCTTTGGAGGAACTCAATAGGTACATGGGTAAGATTGAGCCACGACATAAAAAAAAATGTATGTAACGAAGACATGAATCCCGGCTCTAACCTTAACAGACACGTGGTAAGTGTTGTTAGCGAGTGGCACCTATGCATTCCACCGAGGGGAGGCCCAAGACCTATTCAAATAATTGTCACTGGTGTTGACCCATAGCGGGAATTGAATTTGTTGCTGGGTTAGTAGCACAGCGCGTAAACATCTAAACTACCGCTCCTCATACATATATGCACAAACATGTGCGTCTATTCCCTGTCCGTGCACCTTTCTGCTTCCCACTCTCCCTCTTTACCCACTCTCCCTCCCTCTCTCCTATCTCTCCCTATCCCTCCCCCGTCTCCCACGCTCGCGCCCTATGCACGCCGCCCCCTCCACCGCCCCCCACCCCAGGTGCAGTGGATCTTCGTGAAGGACGTGCCCAACTCGCAGCTGCGCCACATCCGCCTGGAGAACAACGAGAACAAGCCGGTGACCAACTCTCGCGACACGCAGGAGGTGCCGCTCGACAAGGCGCGCCAGGCGCTGCGCGTCATCGCCGCCTTCCGCCACACCACCTCCATCTTCGACGACTTTGCGCACTACGAGCGCCGGCAGGAGGAAGAGGAGAGCCTGAGGAGAGACAAGGTGAGGGCGGCAACCAACGCCAACAACGCCGCCGCCAACGCCGCCGCCAACGTCGCCAACGCCGCCGCCGGCGCCGCCGGTGCCGCCGCCAACGTCGCCAACGCCGCCGGCGCCGCGTCGGGGCCCGCCCGGCGCCGCCCCCCGCGGACGGCTCGCCCCCGCACGGACGGCCGCTAGAGCGACGGTGCTCACCGGTCCGGGCGGCACGCGCGGTCAGTACCCGGCGCGCGGCAAGCTGCCGCCACTCCGGTAGAGCCTTGTGGAGGCACCGGCGCTCACCTGTAGGTCACAGCCTTTGCGGAGCCAGATGCCAAATTTCCACATTGCCATGGTAGGGATGAGTTTTATCCACATGTCGACCGCTTGTTGATCTTCCCCCGGACAAAGTGGTACCCGTTTTGATCCACCCCCGAGCGAGGTGCGATGATGATAATGGTGTCAACTCGTAACGCTGCGCCGCCACGGAGAGAAGGGGAGACGCCAGGAGGAGAAACCGCAGACAAACAGAAGTTCGTGTTTTGAATTCGGCAGGCCGCCCTGGTGATTACCACGGTGTGTATTCAGTATAAAGTACCGTCTGCTTCACGGTGGATGATAAAGGTCCCCTGGTGTCATTCGAAATGAGAAGGCCACCGTTTTCCGACGTGATGGCCCATATTTGTCAAATTAGAAACATGACGGCTTAAATCACTCATTGGGGGTTATACAGCAGCAGCGGATATAGCCCCCTAGGCTCGCAAGCCGAGTGCCCTTGTGCCACACAGACACAGCTGCCACTGGGGCCGCCCTTTCAAACACATTCCCCGCACTTGCGCTCGCACACACTGTGCAAACCGGCAGGAGGACGCGCGTACTCTTCTGTCACGCTGCTTCTGCACCGTACACAGCCGGCCATGCTTGATGCACGCAGAGTGGGCGCCGGAGTCGGGAATCGAACCCGGGCCCTGCTTGCCGTGCGACACGACCGTGCGGAGCATTGACGCCATCTTTCTCTTGTCCGCCGTTGCTGTTGCAGAGGCGCGGCGCAAGCGCAGCGAGCGATGGCGAGGGTGGCCGGACCTGCGGGCGGGGGGGTTGGTTGCTGGAGGTCGCTCTCTGCCGTCGGGACACGAGGGGAGTCCCCGGCAGGGTCGCCACCGCTCTCTCTGCTCGTCCTGCTAGAGACGCTACCCACGGTGGCCACTGGCCGCGGATTGTTTTGTGTTCGCTTCGAGTTCTTTGCGTCCCTGCCCCATCTTCTCCCCCTTTCCCCTTCGTGTGTGTGCGCGCGCGCGCGTGTGTGTGCACGTGCGTGCTTGTGTGTGCACGTGTGTGTGCACGTGTGTGTGCACGTGTGCGTGCGTGCGCGCTTGTGCATGTGCGCGTGTGTGCGCGCGCGTGCGTGTGTGCCACAGCAGCACGGGGTGAGCCGGTGGCGTCTGTAGCGAAGGAGGAGGGGGCGGAGGGTGACACTCGGAGTGCTGTTTGGAGTGTGGACCGAGTCACTCGTAAGCGTAACTTATATCCCCCCAGCCGACGGTGAAGTTGCGTTTTTTTTTCGCCGTTTTACTTTTATTTTGTACTTTGGAAGTTTCCGTTTTTCTTTTGATTGTCTCTCAAGTACTCCTCACGTTTTCACTGTAACCGACTGTACCCGTAACGTCATATTTACGCATCTTTGTATTTTATTTCGCTTGGGGACACGCGGCAGGGGGGAGGGGCGAGAGAGAAGCGCGGCAGCTTTCCAGAGGGGGGGGTGTGGGGAGCCATCTTAAATGTGCGCGCAATCGACCAGTGACGAGGAGGACGAGGTGGCGGACGACGAGGCGGAGGAGGGCGGCGGTGGTGGCTGCATCTCCGGTTGCCCGCGTCGCTTTGCCCGTGTTTGTAGAGGTTTTCACGTGTGATTGTAAGCAATGTTTAACAGAAAAAAACAAAAGCAATTGTCTGCCGTTACAAATTATAGTCAATAATAATGATGATCAGAAAACGGGAAGCCTAACGGGCTGCGTTGTCGCAGTCCTGGACTGTTGGTCTGTCAGGGAAAAAAATAATTGACAGACCCTCTGCTAACGGTGGCTCCGGTTGGACGGAGAACGGAGAGAGCGCCGCCCCGAGAGAGAGAGAAGGGAAGCGAAGAGCCGGGAGGAGAGAGGGAAGCGTTTCGCCTCTGCTGCCCCCTGGAGACCGTTCGACCGCCTGAGCCGCGCATTCCGACGCTCCCCGTGAGCGGTAATTATCCAGCAGCGGCCGCACGCCAGCCGGCGGGCCAGACAGGTCGACGGCCGGACAGGTCGACGGCCAGAGCAGCTCACCCTCGCCAAACATCGTCCACCATGAGCCTTCCTGCCCCCCCAAAAAAATAAACCCACGAGCCCCTCCCCCGAGATGAAGACAAGTGTTGAGCAATGTTACAATTTCCCAACAATGAAGACTTCCAGTGTTTAATTAGACCTCCCCCTCTACCAACTCGTTTGAGGTATTCGCAGTACTGTACTGGATATTGCCTGTAATAAATGTACTGTACTTAGACCAAAAGTCTTGCCGCTGCAGTATCTTTGTCGAGTTCTGCTCCCAGTTAATGACACGGCATTCTTATCAATTACATCATACACAGCAATAATAATTACCTATATTTGCGGGAAACCAACGAGTACTGTGGCTCCTTTGTAAAGAGGGTCCTGCATTGTCTGCTTCTATATTAAGACGTTTATGGCCAATTAATGGGTGTTATGAGTGTTCACCCAATGCCATACCCTCACTCAAAGTCAAAAAGTGAGTTCATCTGAGAATCGAGTCGTTGGTCCTCATCAGCAGTTTGCAGCCATGTAGAAACCAGTGGTGGAAATTCCACATTCCTATTCCATGGGTGTGGGGGGGTGCAATTTTTCTCAATCATTGTTGATCTTCCACACAGTGGTACCGATTTTATCGACTACCAGTGGGAGGGATGATGGGCTGCTTTAACCCAAATCCCCAACCGGGATTTGAACTCGCAACTTTCCGACTGCGAGCTGCTCGCTCTAACGCTGAGCCACCACGGATGTATTGTTGAAGCCAGCCGCTGTTGCGGGATACACGCGTGGAAATATGATCTCGTTTACATTTATAGAGCGCCTGCACCCAAGGCGCGTGACGTGGCTTGCAAAACGGTGACAATGGAATGATGTAGTCAGCAGTGTGCTACAAGGGTTGAGGAATGAGTGACAACAGCGATAAGAGGGGTGCGGAGGGGTCGCGAAAGTGTAGGGGAGGGACGGGAAGGAGTGGATGGGCCAGGGAAGGGAAGTGGAAGACAGTGGGCGATGGAGACAAGTTGAGGCTTTTAGAGAGGAACTGAAGGAGGTTAAGGAGGGGGGTTGCTTAATGTACCCGGGAGGTATTCTTAGTTTTTTCGGTAAAGTCACGTTGAAGAGAAACAACAAAATAACAAAATATATATAAAACAATAAAAAAAATTCTCACGACGTTTCGACCATAACTCAAACGGTCATCATCAGGTGTGTCGGTTTCCATAAATTTATTTTTAAAACGGCACATTTATTTATAATATCCGACCAGGAACACATAAGCAGTGAACTCAAGCACGTACACCAAGCTCTTAGGGCTAATGGTTACTCCGACTATACAATTCGCAAAGCTATCACTCAAACCATGAAGAAGAACCCTCTTGAGGAGCCTTTCAAAACCATCACTTTACCCTACATTGCTGGGATCACAAAAAAGATCTCCAAAATCTTGAATAAACACAAGATCCAGGTCCGTTTCAACACATTACATAAAATCCGTGATCTGGTTCCGTCTGTAAAAGATGTGATTCCGGACATACAATACCCTGGTGTCTACAAACTAAGTTGCCTCTGTGGTAGTAGTTACATTGGAGAAACCAAACGCCATGTCTCGGACCGCATTCGTGAACATAAAGCAGACCTTAAACACGGTAGGACCAACACCTCGGCCGTAGCAGATCATTGTTCTAATTCAGTAGGCTCACATGCCATTGACTTTTCCAAGACGGAGGTTCTTTGTAAGCCATCTGGCTTCCATGAGAGATTCGTTCATGAGGCTATCCACATATACAAGCACAGAGACAATTTCAACCGAGAAGATGGATTCTATCTTAGCAATCATTGGAAAGATTTGATAAATCATTTCAGTTCTTGATTGATTGTTCACGCTTACAGTGGCTTTCAGACAGCATACATTATACAAAATTTCGTCTCCCCCCTCCTCTTTTCAAAAAAAAAAATAGATGGACTAGTCCTGGGCAAACTGCCAATGGCTGCGCGTGACGCCAACGTTTTTTATAAATAAATGTGCCGTTTTAAAAATAAATGTATGCAAACCGACACACCTGATGATGACCGTTTGAGTTATGGTCGAAACGTCGTGAGAATTTATTGTTTTATATATATTTTGTTATTTTGTTTCTCTTCAACGTGACTTTACCGAAAAAACTAAGAATATGAATTACTGCAGTCACGAAAGCTTTAAATCAAAATTTACCCGGGAGGTGTTAGGTCTATGGGCATTGTTGAGTCGATGGGCAGTGTTGAATCTATGGGCAGTGTTGCTCAATGTCAAGGGAAGTTGATTCCAGTGGAGAGGTGCAAGGAGGGAGAAGGACCGGGATTGGGCACGGGGAGAAAGATCGACCCCAGGCCGAGAGGTCCTCCGCTGCATGGCCACGATGCGAGAGGGGGGGGGGGGGGTCGCGTTTGCCCTTCCACTCGAGGATTCGTTTTGTCCTCAATGAACGTAGCGCCCTCTGTCGGCAGCCAGGTAAACAACAGACACTAACGCCAACATCTCTACCTCCATAAATACACATTTAAAAGAGTGTTGTTTACACGTCCCACCAGCCACCACACGGCCGCCTCCTGGGAGGGCATGTCAGCAGCATTGGGTCAACACAAGAAAAAGCTGGGACGGTTTCGACGTTCGGTGTCCCATCAGTAGAGTCGGGCTGGCTGCGACCAGTGAACTGCTTACGGGCCCTCTAAGATATGGATACGAGTTTGACGAAAAGCCATTTAATACATGACAAAACTTAAACATTTACATCGTTGTGGAGAATATAAATAAAACAGTAAACCAGCATTGGTTCAAGCGTGACTGCTGATGAGACACTGAATGTCAAACCCGGTTCAGAGTTTTGTTGAGATTGAATCAATGCCCTTGACATGCATTCCCATAAGAAGGTCGTGAGGTTGATGGGATCTGAGACAAGAGGATGGCTTCTGCAGAATGACAAAAATCAATTCTGATTACAGAGAGTAGCAGTGACCACCCCCTGCTGGCGAACCAATGCCCATCTTGCAGGCCAGGTGTCGAGTTACCTTGTGCCGCATAGGGACAGCTGCCCCTCGGGGCACCCAAGGCTAGACCACAAATCAATCGCCGCCCGCCTGCTGACACACTGACCCGCCCATACTGGACATGACCCGGCTATGCTGGACATCGGTGAAAAAGAGCTTCATAGCTCATCGGATTCCTCCAGTCTAAAAGATTTGTGATGATGCCAATCTTGTCGATCAGGGTGCCGAGTATCCTTGTTCCGCGCAGGGACAGCTGCCACTGGTGTGCCCCTTTAAATAAAAGTAATTATGTCAGTCGCTTGTCGTGTAAGGAGGGCGGCTTCATGGAAAACAACATCTCTCTCACGATCACCGGAACGCGTGGGGAGGAGGGAAGCATGGGGGGATGATTGAATGAACGGCTGAGCGCGTCTCACTTGACAGCCAAGCTACCTTGCACACAAAGAAAAAGACCCCCCCGTAGCGAGCACCTATGAAGTCCGGAACGGTACACGAGGGGGTGGGTGGTGGCCAGCACCACCCCCGACCGCCTTTATCTCCCCAATAGCGATGTTTACACATCTCCCTTGGTACTAATTTAATGCTGAGTCGACCTAGGCAAGGCCCAGGTCCGGTTCACATAATCGTCACTGGTGTTGTTGGCGTTGCGTTCCGAGCGCAGAGCCACCGCTCCCCACACGCGCACACCCCCACGAAGAACCAATACGAAGTGGGGGCCACGGTGGGGGGGGGGGGGGTCGCCACGCGCTCCGTGTCTCGAGTTGAGGCTTTCTGAGAAGCACTCAGCAGAGCAACACCCCCCACCACCAGCACCGTGGAGCCTTCCCACCACACTGTTGAGGCCGCCGTGTAGCCTTCCCACCACACACTGTTGAGGCCGCCGTGTAGCCTACCCACCACACACTGTTGAGGCCGCCGTGTAGCCTACCCACCACACACTGTTGAGGCCGCCGTGTAGCCTACCCACCACACACTGTTGAGGCCGAGCGTTGTTAGCGAGCACCTATTGAGGAGGCAGTCAAGACACACGGCTGGGTTGGTGTGGCCGGGACCAATCAGCGGCGTGCTGATGCTGGACACGCCGCGACCCAATGTGAAGTCGACCGACTGGGAGCCCCAGCAGGACACCCCCGGCCGTGCCTGGGAATCGCTCGCCAGGGTTCGTAGCTCAGTGCGCGAACCACTTCCACCGGCGCCACCTCCACACTCTCACACAAAGATTTTTCATATAGACTTAACAGGCTGTGGGGGCAAGTGCTGTTAGCGAGCACCTATGAAGGCCGGAACGGTACACGAGGGGGTGGGTCGCCAACACCACGCCCAACCGCATGTCTCCACAGTGGCGATGTTTACACACCGCACCAGGTACTGATTCGAGGCTGAGTCGACCTAGGGGAGGCCCAGGACCGGTTCAGATAATCGTCACTTGTGTTGGCCGTGAGCGGGAATCGAACTGGGGTCGCTGGGTTCGTAGCGCAGCGCGCTGACCGCTACACTGCCGCTCCTCACACTGTCACACACACACTCGCATACATTCACACACACGCTGCTGTGGAGACGGGATATTGCCTGAAACGTCGTCATATGTTCCGGTGTAAGGCAGTGTTGGTGACCAATGTCGTGAGCGGGTTTGACTGTGTACCTGTGCAGCCCTTTTGCCAATCCACTGCTGGATGAGCGAGTGAGTCCGTGAGGGCTATTGGATCATACCTCAAACACGCTGGTCAGGTCGAGTTGGCGACCAGCAGGGAGCAGAGACGTGGAAGCATACAAAAATGCAGTACAACCACGTGTTTTTCTTTTTTTCTCACTACCCTCCGCCGTCACACGATGCAGCCCCGCAGAAGCCTATAACATCCTGTTATGCATGGTGATCGCCCACCTCAACGGCGTCCACTCTCAAAGCCTGCGGAACTCAGGAGATTCCTGGCGCATTCCGGGAGATTGGAGTCGAAGCCGACTCTTCCTCGTAGTCTGAGCAAGGGCCACAACAGAGATCAGTGACAGCATGGGGAGGCCTTCATCCAGCAGTGGAGTAAACCACGCCTGATGGTGATGACCTCGCTGCAGAGAGGTCCTGATTGTTATATGCCTGGCGAGTCTGCTGGCGTGCAGCCAGCAGACTCGCCAGGCGTGCTAGTGTGTACGCGTGTTAGTGTGTACGCGTGTTAGTGTTTTAGTGTGTACGCGTGCTAGTGGGTACGCGTGCTAGTGTGTACG